TACTATATGAAAAATTATCATCAAAAATGACCATCAAATTGTTTATGGTGAAATTGGTGTCAAGCTCATAAAAAATAATTCAGTGGTAATTCCCAAACACTATACAGTTTTACTAGGCTTAGGTTCAATTCAACTGAAAACTTGTGAAGACACAAGATGGGCCCAGCTAAGCTAACACTAAACAACAGCCCAATCAAGGAACCACCAAAAACCATTCCCACCACACTGACAGGGCAAGCCTATGGTATATAAAACCCCACTCCCTACTTGTACTGATGATGTTACCTAGGCTGGTTATGAAATATATGCAAGAAAACCACCAAACTCAGACAACATCAGGGACTCCATAGTTCAACTGATCGTCTCATCCATTGATTATGGTCACTAGGCTGTTTGCTTCATTATTTGTTTACTCAAAACTCAATCTTGGAGGAACCTGATAGAGGTAGCTTTACACAAAAATTAATGCCATCAATTTCCTTTCTTTCATATTACAGAAAGGAACAAGCAGGACAGAAAGTGTTGTTTGATAACCAATTCCACTTCTTATCAGCCTAGTGACCATAATCAATGGATGAGACGATCAGGATATTTTTTCTTATGATAGATTGGTATATGATATACCATAATGTGTCTTAAAAACAAAACCATAAAATGACTCAGAATTGTGTGGTTTAAAAGAAAATATTAAAATTATAACTCTGCAGTACAATAAAATGACATGAAATTCAGAGTGAAAAAATAAATAAATATGACAAACTTAGGGCCTTTCCCTACACATTCATAGGTATTCTTTTCTCCCATCCTTTAGAATCATGGCGGTCCTTCTGCTTTGCCCTCCCAGGGATTCTGTTCCAGATATCAAGGGAAGAAGGTTGACAGAAGCTACCTCTTCCCCTTCCCTGCTTGCCTTCTCCTGTGGCTCAGATCCCTTTGCTACTTCCTATGGAGGAGCTATTTGCCCTTTCTCTGGGCTGGCTGCAGAGTGCTGTTGTATGGTGTCCCTGATGATGATGGTGGCAGCAGAGCTTTCCAGGAAGTGTGGAGAGATGCAAAGGCATTGGCTGCCTTCATTCTGGCTTTGGAGGCAAAGAGCCCCACAGCTGAATAAGTGAGGATGTGCCTGCAGTGAGTCAATTGGAACACTACAGGTGACTGACCTCCTTCAGGCTTTTCTTCCTCAACAGAGAGCATTTATATAGAGGAGGGCTTAATCCATTTTCTACTGAAAAATATTATTTTTTTAATAGCCTGGCAGCCTGGCCTTGAAATGGAGGCTCCAGTGGGAGGACATGTTGTTAAGGACTGGTAAGCAGTCCATCTCAAAGCAATAGAGTCCTTTAATGTGTTAAAAAGAGTCACCTTGATGAAACCTGGTGTTTAACATAAAGACAGACAATTTAATGAACATTTTTGAAATCATATTATTGTGGTTATTGTGTAAAGTTCAAAGTATGAAGAATAATCCAGAAATGATGGAGGCCTATTGAGGAAAACAAGGAGAAGCCAACTAGTTCCATTTGTTAGTACCCTAACAACTCCTAAGAAGTATAAAATTAGAATCGTGTACGTGGTCAATCTGACATTTTGCTACTGAAAGAATGATTTATCTGACATTTAACTGAACACAATATAGTTGTGTTCAGCTACATGTGAATCCTTGAATTTAGCAAGCTTCTCAGTTAATAGAAAGGTTACTGGTGATATAATTTCCAACCAGTTAAATTGAAAGATTTATTAACTGAATAATATGAATAAATTATTTTTATCGTTTTTCCACCAGAAAATAAACTGTAAATATATATCATTAAAGGAGAATGTATGTAATTGTAAATATCTATTTTTAAACCAGTTATACTCCATAGCCTGGTATAATTATACTAAGACCACTGTTGAGAAAACATTAAGTCATAACAATGTAAAGACACTCTTAACATTGTAATGTAATAAATTTACAAATAATATTGTAACATTGTAATAAAGGGGACTATTTGCTTATGCTTGTAGAGTGTACGCTAAATATAGCAGATAACTGCCAAATGACTCTGGGGGGAAAGGAAAATGCTAACAGAAACCAGATTGTCACTTTTTTCTTCTTGTGAAAAGATACATTATATGGGTATAATATGAGTCAATTTGATACTGTAGATAAAGGCAGTGGTTTAGAAACTAGAAAACTATGAGTTTTAGCACATTGTTTATGTAAGAAAGTGCTAATATCAGTAAAAAGAGGTGGTCTTGGAGCCTTTGTAGGGGTGTGGAATTTACTGTAGATGCACTGGTGTAATCATAGAAAGGTCAGACCTTACAGTGTGGCTATGAAGGTCATATTATGATTTATATTGCTTTATTTATCACTCCTATGTAACATTTCTGGGATATATAGTAGTCCATAACCTGGCTTAGTTCAGGACTCTGGCATTCTTTTGGCCTGAAGCCCAGGGATCACTGTAATTGTGCTTGCCAATAAAAGGTACTGTGTTGCATCTATCTCAAAATGCTTTGGGTCCTGATTTAAAATGGACGTTTTTCCCACAACAGAAAGATGGATCAGATATTATGCTGTTTTAAACCAAAAATTTATCTCCCTCCATAGGTGACATTTTGATATATTATTTGTGTAATGTTATGCCAAGGTTTTTAAGATGTACGATTGCCTGATCTTGTCCCAGCTTTATCAGCATCTTACTTGAGAACCTCAGTTTGTGTGATGTGTCATTTACTTGGAATTTTCAGGAGAAATATTTATCTGAAAAGGTAAGATATACCAGACTTTGGGATGAAGTATAACTTTTAGGCAATATCTGAATATATTCAACCATGTATGTCTTATTTTGATTATTATAAATCCTGCCTCCAATCATAGAGCAGAGTTAAGCACATATTTTGCTGTCTGGAATTCTTAGGAAACTAATTTGAGTTGTTTCCAATTTCTCATAGTTGATACCTGGATTCAACTGTACTCCATAGAGAACCTATGCCAATGTCTTGGCTTCAAAAGCTTCACAGCAGTTAGTACATATTGGGCTTTTCTAGTGAAAAAGAAAGGATTGCTAGGAAACTCCTCTGAGTGTTCAGAGCTATCTGGATAATACGACTATGTTCCTCCCCTGAAGAATGTAGTACAAACCAAGTACTTAAAATGAAGGATTTGTTCAATAATATAATCTTTGACATTCCATCAGAATTTTACAAAATGCATAGTATTTGTTTTCTCATAATTTGTAATGATTATTCTTAGCTACTGGATCTTCTACCAGTGCCTGCAATAGTACAACTGTATTGTCTTTATAAAGTGGTATAATTCTGTTCAGCCTGTTTTACGGAATGCTTACTTAAGGAATCTACCAATGCATTAATATCGTACTTTAAAGTACAATGTACTCTTGTTTAACCCCATTACTAGTTGGCACTGAATTTTAGAGGTGTTCAGCTACAGGATATGTTACACTCAAGTTTGTATTTTTATGAGGTTCACTTAATAAGGTAAGCAACTGTTTATCAATTGTAGATTATTTGAGTGTTTCTAGAGATGGAGTCCAAGGCCTGTTTTAGATCTACAAACAAGGGGAAAAGGGCTGACTTAGGGTCTCTTCAAGCCAGTCTCAGAGTTTCTTACGAAGATGGTTATCTAGCATAGATCTTACTCATTAGGCTAAAGATGCTCTCTGGGCACCAAGTGGATGGATGATCTTTCACTGTCTTCTTCCAGTTAGAGATAATTATGGCTGTTTCCCTATTCTGTTCAATGTACTTTGTGTTACAATATTAAATCCCGCCTCTGTAATAATATATGCAAAAAACATCACATTTGAAGGTAAATATATTAGGTTGTGATTTTTCTTTCCTCAAATGTCTTATGTTCTTAGCCATCCTTAGCATATTTTATGCAATAAAGCAACTGTGAAATATCATGCATTACAAGAAATTTGGAGAAATAATTGGAAGCAATCTGGTTTTAATGATAAACAGGAAGGTTGTAAAAGCACATGTATTTAGAGCACAGCCCTCCTTCAAGAACTACTTATGAATTTTAAGTTTTAATTTGCTAGGAATAAGTTATGATTACTTCTTATGTATTAATTCTATTAACTGGTTTACTTAATTTAAATGAAATATAAGTTTTCAGAGCAGCCTCATTCAGTTCTTTAGATTGACCTTATTTTCGGGAGTGCACTCTCCAAAATATCATTCATATGACAATTCAGGTCCTTCACCCAAGAAAAATACACAATCCTGCTATGTGCTTTGATTGTATGCCATAGTGTTTAACTACTCAATTTCCCCCTGTAATCTTTGCCTTCTTTGTACTTTCTTTTTAAAAACAATTGTCCCCCTAAAACCGTTCAGGAGCCTCATCTTCTGGGCAACCAATTACACAAAGGGGGGGGGGGGGGGAAGGGAAAAAATCTGGAAGACTGAGATAGTTTGTAAGATGTAATTCTTAAAAAAAAAAATCAGCAGGGTTGCAGCCAAAGGACCTTCATTCAAATGTATAAACGTGCCTTAAAATTCGAACTAATGTTATAATAAGCTGAAAAATCGGAGTGGTCCTCGCTTCCTTTTTCGAACCGCAGCCAGCGCTGTCTTTCCTCGCCACTCCCGCCACCACGTTAGTCGTCTCAATAGCACATCAATTCTTCGTTGGATCATTTCTGTTTACTTTCCGGAGTAATCCTCCCGTCAGAGAAACGCCACCGACTCCCATCAGAGACTCTGCCGGCGCCACTTCCTTCCAGCGTTCTCCCTTCCTCTCCATCACCCCGCATCCTAAGGTGAAGTCTGCGGGAGGGAGGAGGAGCGCGCGCAGCGCGCGCGCGCGCGACACCGCAGTAGAGCGCGAGGCGAGCTGCTCGTTGATGCCACCGCTGCTCTTCGGGAGGGCTGGCTAGCTCAGGAAAGGACAGCAGAATCCCCATTGCGTCAGGATCGGGGGCAAGGGCACGCCAATGGGAGGGAAATAGGGGAGGGGGCGCAGTAGGCCGGCCAGCCATTCAGAAGCGGAGAACTCTTGTCTCCTCAGCAACCGGCCTAGATAGCCAAGGCTGCGCCTCCCACATCACGCCCTGCTGGTCTTCCATACCTTCTTCATTCTTAACCTGCTTCAGCCTGGCGGAGGAGCTAAGCTCTCCATGCCTCTTCGCTGAGCTAACGTATCGGCGGAAGGCTCCCCTAGCTTCTTTTTTCTTCCACACTCCACCCAGAAATTGTCTAGCGAGGAGTGCTTTTCTCTCTCTCTCTCTCTCTCTCCCCCCCCCCCACTTCCCTTTCTTTCTTTCCCCTCTCTCCGCTTTCTGCTAGTCGGTGAAGACTGTGGGAAATACCCCCATTGCTCAGCTCGCTTGAATGGAGAGCGGGGAAGATTGTTTTTCTGGCGAGGGTCGCTGAATGGGGGAGACGGGGGTAACCGTGCAGCCTTTCTGGAAGGGTCGCTGGGCGGGCAATAAGATTCGCTGATGATTCCCGACCATGGGCAAGGACCAGGAACTGCTGGAAGCGGCTCGCACTGGGAATGTGGCTTTGGTGGAAAAACTCTTGGCTGGCAGAAAAGGAGGGCTCCTGGGCAGTGGATCTGGACCTATTCCTTTATCCAACTTGCTGAGGTAGGGATACCTTTCCCACCAGGACTGGGATAGTAACCTTCTCGTTGTTATCATCATCTTCATCATCTTCCTCTTCATTCTGGTCTTTTTATTATTCATAGTAACCCCCCCCCAAAAAACCCACAACCCTATGTGTCTTCTGAGCATGTTCAGGTGTGGAAAGAGGTTTGTGTCATTACCTATGATGACATTAAGGCAGTAGTCTTTGGGTTTCTTTTTGCCAATGCGTCAGAAAGTATTTGATTTGGTGGGTTTCTTTCACTGATACGTTACTTTAGCATGCATTGGGCACTCTAATGTACACATTGATATTATTCCTTTCATTTAAAATAAATCTCTATGAACTCCTCCCCCCCCCCCACTCCCCCCCAAAATTACCCAATCTCCTGTTCATGTAGGACTGCCAGATCTGGGCTGCAAAACTCTGGTTGATTTCAAGATAAAGGACATGAAGGTTTTCCTTACCCCTTTTCTGCCATCTAGAAGTCATCCAGTTTTTTGCAGGCCTGATATCTAAGTATTTGTACCTGTAGCACATTCTGTGCTAATGGCAGTTCCAGGATAAATCAGCCATATGATGTGGCATATTGTGAAAACATTTGAACTCTCAACTGAGAGGCTGCCTCTGAAAAATGATGTACATTGTGTGCAGCAGGTGATCAAGGTTTCTAGAGCTATGCAGAACTGGATTAGTAAGCATTTTTAGAAGGAGGCAACAAACTTTTAATTCAGAAAAACTTTATATAACATGTAGGGCTATGTTAATATCACCCATTGATAATATAATGCTAAATATGCTGTTGGTAAATCATTTTTATAGATGTTTAATTAGCCAAAAGATTTCAGGATACTTTAAAAAAATAGAATTACATTAATGTTATGATATATTTATCTAACATCACAACAAATAAAAATATTTTGAACTAATGAAAATTGTTTTAGTAATAGGTAAAAAGAGCATTTAGTTTTCAAGGATTCTTTGCATTTTGTCAACCTGTCCCTATCTCTACAAATACAATGTTTAAAATGGTTTTTAATTGTTTCATTTTTAATTATAAGAAGTAGTATTTAGTTAGCTGTACAATTTTTCAGTGGCAATAGCAGAATTTTTCTTAGCATACATGTAGCATGTTATAGAGTAACTTTAATACAATATATAACCTAAGTAAAAAGGTAATATAATGTAATTTAAATACATTTTGAATTTATTTGTAGCATTTGTGTTTGTATGTGCACATCTACAATTTTTATGTTAATGTTCCTCATTTCATAGTAGCTCATCTTTACTGTAATTCTTATAGGTATAAGATTTTCTTGAGTATAACAGTTGAATGATTGCTGTACAAATCTTTTAGTTTATATATTCAAAGATTGAAGAAATATATTTTTACAAACTTTGTGTAACTTGCTATTATAGAAAAGTGATGATTAATAAATGTAGAAAAATATTTTATTTAATGTAGGCATTTTTAATTAAACCCACAAACCCACAAAGGTTTTGCTAAATTAAATAATTATATGTTCTCTCCTTTGGCATTTCAAAGCAAAGTATAACATAAACTTCACAAATTTATATTTCTAAAAATGTTTGTGTATTTAAAAAAACTAAGTATTCAGATAATAGTATAGCAAATATATATTCCAAGATCAACGTTAGGCAGTGTTATATTGTTGTAGTTATAGTGTTATAGGCAGTGTTGTATTACACTGTTAGGCAGTATAACTTATCAGTTAATTAGAATATGTATTGATATAAAAGTGAATCATATTACGCATTAATTTAAATAAACTTTAATGGCTTTAATTTTCCTTAGTAATATCACTATTTTAGCAAGTTTGTCTTTTCAAGATCAAAAGCAATTTACTTTAATGAAATGAAAAGATTTCAGCTGTGTCGATGAAGATTCTCAGTCATCCAGGTAGAGTTGTCTGAAGGTTGAATCATTGCAACTGGACTAATTTTTTTTTTGTCAGTTTGAGAGACGTTTCATTGACCATCCAGGCAGCTTCCTCCATCAAAGCAAGATAGTTGGGCAGTGAGTTGTTGGAATGTACCAACTCCTGCCACACCAACCTCAGGGGTTTCTTTCCCAAAGGGAAGGTAAAGATTTTTTTCAACATGCTTTGGTGGAAATCCCTGAGGAGTTGGCACATTCCAACAACTCTCTGCGCAAGTATCTTGTTCTAACTGAGGAAGTTGTCTGGATGGGAATATAATATATTTCCTTTTCTACTGAAGTCAGGTTCTGCTATAAGTAAAAATGAATAAAGCCAGTTATTTTGAATACAAAATGCCTTACATCAAACATTTAAAAAAACGTTAAAAATGCCTTTACCAAGAAGTTTTGATTTATTTATTTTATTTAGTGTAGGCAAATACATGGACTTATAGAAGTTCAAATGTCCAGTCCATTCAAGGACAGGGTGGTCTATCTTGAAAATATTAGACATTGGGCCGGTGTAAGCTCTTGATGGACATTCGGACACAATGTGATGGATATTTGTCGAGGAGCACCACAGTCACACTGAGGGGTAGAGACAAGACCCCACTTAAGCAATGAGTCCTGGCAGATACCATGTAGGGTACAGATCCTGCTCAGAGTTGACCAATGCTAGCGAGGAAGGTCAAAACCTGACACCTTTTTTGATTTTGGGAACCTATGAAACATTAGGAGCTATTGATCTATGGAATACAGATTATGTCACTGGAAGGATAGGACAGAAAATTAAAAGCTGATCAGATTGGCTTGCTCATTTCACTAGCAGCTGATAGTATAAATTCTGGAAATGGGAATGATAATAATACCACAAGATTAAAAAAAATCCTTTCTGAAGGTTAATGAAGTTTAAGCAGGGTGAAATTAAAGGGGAGGCACTTTTTTTTTTCCTTTCTCAAGACTCTCAGTACTTTTTGCTATACACAGAACAATCAGCTCCAAAACAGAATTCTTAACTGTTATTTAGTGTTCCACAGGTAGACTTCAGTTGAAGTTTTATGCCTTTGCAAGGAAAAAAAGTAGATGTTTTTGCATCTCATGGATTGAGCAAAAATTACTGGTTGTGCACTCTAAATGGTGTATATCAGGGGTGTCAACCTCAATTTCATTGAGGGCCATATGAGGGTTGTATTTGACCTTGGGGATGGGGGGTGGCATGAATGGACAGGGCCAGCTCAAAGTCACTCATGTTAAGGGCATCTGTGGTGGCCCAAGTGCTGTGCCAGCGAAAGCTGGCTCCTGAGCTCAGTTTTCAGCTACGATGGCCTCCTGCAACTCTCTGCCAGGGAAAACAGAGCCCGGGAGGGCTGCATGTGACCCTCCTGAGATCTGTTTTTGCCGGCAGAAGCACCGTGGGCCAATCTGTTTCCAGGGCAGCTGTGCGGGCCAATTCTAAGCACCCCATGGGAAGAATCTGGTCCCCAAGCCTTGAGTTTGACACCTCTGGTATATATCAACCCTATAGCATAGCCTGTAAAAGTTGAGGAAAATGCTAATTTATTCCAAGTACTACCTTACTTTTCAATGAAAGAAAATTACACAATGCCCTGCTCATGGAAATAACTGATGTGAGAAATATTACACATGAAAGTATATAGCTAAATATATGTCTCCTGTATAAACAATTGAACCATCCGTTTTCTTCTTTATAATGAATTTTTAGATATGTTGTATGGAAAATATGTTGCATGAAGCATTACATTTTCAGAAGGCACAGAAACAATCCAGATTAGTTTTGAGGATTACATTCCTAGTCCTGCTTAAATCTTCTTTGAAATTTCATAAGATATTCCTTAAATTAATAGTATATTCTATTGTTATAAAAGAGTTTCTTGGTCATATTTGTACGGTATGGCAAGGTTGAACAGCCTTGTTCTTAAGATTGCTGATCCTTTTAAAGATAAAATGCTGATCAAGCCTGCCTGAAAAAGTGAAGTTATTAGTAGCCTTTAGGGTTAGGGGAGAGAGGAAAGAAGAAAAAAAGAGAAATCTTACAGACAACATTTTGTGTCCTACCCTTTTTTTATATCTTGTGATAGGAGGAACTTGCAGCAGGCACTCCCTGATCATCCAAATTGTTTGGACTGAATGTATCTGGGAAAAGTGCTTTTTTTAAAAAAATACCCTGATTCAACACCACATATATGGGGCTTTATAGGCAGTGACCAACACCTTGAGCTGTACTTAAAATACTAATAATCACTGCAGTTTCTGAATGGTATAATGTAGGCATACCAAGACTGCTCAGTATGCACTTAGACTGCTGCATTTTAGACTAGTTGAAGTCTCTGATAGTCCTCAAGGAAAGTCCCGTATAGAGTGAGTTGGAAGCCTAGTAATCCAGTTATGAGATTAGAAAGATATTTGTGAGGGTACTCAATGTATCCTGTTCAAATTAGACCAGAACAAATGTACCTACCAGAGGGAGGCAAAAGCCCACTGGGTCAAAACTTCTATTTGCTCTTTCTGAGAGAGCACAATCCCATTGAAAATGAGTTGGTATTATGGAATCAACTGGCTTCTGAATTAACAGTCATTCCATTTTGCTTGAGTCTAAACCTGTTTCTCTTTGAGTCTAACAGTGTCCAGGCACCGAGAAAGGATTTCTATTGCAACCTCTCTTTCTTTGGTGACCTACACCAATGATACATCATTTTATAAACATTCTCTTAAAGATTATAACAATATACATTTCAGTTCTTTCAAAGTTTCAGCTCAAATTTTTTATCCCACTTTATCATACTCAACTTGGAATGGTATGTGAGAAAGAACTTGAGAAACAAGGTGAGATGCTACTCAGGGAACAATCTGATAAGAGATAATATAGCCTGCAGCAGCCTAATGGATGGGGAAAGAGGCTCAGAAGGGTCATCCCTAACTTTTCAGACTAAAGGAAAAGGCAAGAGGTTTGTAGCGTCAGATTTGCAAGGTTCTGTTTGCCTATTGTCTATAAAATGCTTTTTGTGCTGAGCTGCAAAGGTGACCTTAGATACAACCTGGACG